TTTATTAAAACTTCAAATATAATATACAAATTAACATTAATATTAGAGAATTAATTAAGAGACAATAGTTCGTGATTTTATACTGTAAGCAGATGTCACTCGAATGGCGAGTCATGCGGTTTTTTCATGTTTTGACTTTTGCGATAGTCTAGGGTTGCCAACACCTCCCCTTTTTGGTTTGGAGCGTTAGGTGGGAACAAATCGTTCCACTGGTCGGCGTATACGCTGTAGACGCTCCTTCAATGTAGGTGATGGTTCCTTCGGCGATGCTTGGGATTGAGTCTCACCAGAAACGAGTTCTCTGTGAGCTTCTGTCTCAGCATGAGTGCCGTCATATAGACCAAACGCATCGATCAACGTCTTGTTTGCATTTTTTTCTTCTGCAGCTGCCGCTGACTCTGTGGTGTGAGTGCGCTTTCGTAACTGGTTTGCTTGTGCTCTTATGAGCTTTCCGTCGCTAAGCAGAACATTGTAAATAACATTTCCAACCCGCTCAATTACTTCGCCTGGTATCCATTTGAATTTGTTTTTGCCTTTGAACACGCTAGCACATACTTTGTCTTTGGGTTGGAACAATTTTTCCTTCGCGCCATGCGCTCTGTCGAATTGCCGTTTCATACTCTGTTGCTGCTGGTCGAGTTGACGATTAATAACCGGTTTTGGTTTCATCAAATCTAAGTTGGTGTGTATATTTTTCCCTAATAAAACTTCAGCTGGCGTTCTGTTGTTTTCGTTGTTCTTGTTGGGTGTTGAGCGGTAGCACTGTAGGAAAGTTTGTAGGATTTTGTGGGTAGTTCCCTCTCCGTTCAATTTAGTGAGAGCGCGCTTGAAGGTGTCAACAAATCGCTCTGCTTGCCCGTTCGACATTGGGTAGTACGGACTCGAACGCAGATGTTCGATGCCATTCCCTTCTAGGAACTGTTGAAATAACGCGCTAGTAAACTGCGTGCCGTTGTCGGACACTATTGTTCTCGGAGTTCCAAAGCGGGCAAATATCTCGGTCAAGATATCAATAGTTTGTTGTGCTGTTATGGATTTGGTCGGAACTATCTCTGGCCATTTTGAATACGCGTCTACGAGAACTAAGAAATATTCATTTTCGATCGGTCCCGCGTAGTCGATGTGTAGCCGTTCCCAGGCACATGAGGGTTTCGGCCATGGGCGAAGTGTCGTTTTATTTGGCATCTTTGCTGCGGATGCACAGTTACTGCAGTTTCGCACTAACTCTTCTATTTCTGAGTCTATGTGTGGCCAATATACATAACTTCTTGCAATTGCTTTGGTCCGCTCCATTCCCGGATGTCCCTTGTGAATTTGCTTGAGAATCCGTTTACGTAATATTGCCGGTATTACCACACGCTGTCCCAACATAATACACCCATCAATGATGCTAAGGTTGTCGCTTCGCAACCGGAATTGTTTTAATTCTACTCCGATATCTGCATTGTCTGCCCAGCCATGTTCAATGTAATCTAATAATTGCTTGAGAGTTTTATCTTTCTCTGTTTCATATTTTATCATGCTGTGCGTTACTGGTAGCTTGTCTATTGCATCTGATAGAATTTTCTTGATCTCGCCTTCAAACTTTACCGAGGCGATGACGTAGTCTTCCGACGCTTTGTTGCTTTTATTGATCAGGCGTGAAAGAACGTCAGCATAACCGAAACTATTCGTTGAGATAAAGCTTATCTCGAAATCGTATGCTAATAACTGCAGCGCCCATCTTTGTAGACGGTTAGCCTGATGTGCCGAAATACCCGTCTTTTTGCCAAAAATCGTGAGTAACGGCTTATGATCCGTGTGCAGTTTGAACCTTCTACCGAATATCATCTTGTGGAATTTGGTGACTGCGAATACCAGAGCGAGCCCTTCTTTTTCAATTTGGCTGTACCCCTTTTCCGCAGGTGTAAGAGATCGTGATGCGTGACAGACTGCCTTTATCGAACCATCAGGGCCTTCATGGAGAATACATGCACCAAGACCGTAGTTGGATGCGTCTGCAGCTACGATGATTTCTTTATTTGGGTCGTAGTGCGTTAATAGCAAATTTGAGCTGAGAATGTCCTTGAGGCTGTTAAAGCAGTTTCGCTGAATAGACGTCCATTGCCACTTTACATTAGCCTTTAAAAGTTCGTCTAATGGGCCTCTAAGCTGGCGCATTTTATTTATAAATTTGCCGTAGAAATTAATTGCACCCAGAAATGATCGCAATTCGGTAACGTTGGTTGGTTCTGGCATATCTTTGATGGCTGAAACGCGCTCCGGGTATGGTCGAAGTCCGTCCGGACTTATAATGTAGCCTAAGTATTTAACTTCGGTCACCGCAAATTTACATTTTGCGAATTTGATTTTGAATCCATAATCTTGGATTCTTCGCAAAACCTCGCGTAAATTACGATCATGCTCAAGTTCGTTTCTTCCCGAAACAAAAATGTCATCTATATATGCTGCTGCACAGTCCAGACCAGAGAGCATTTTATCCATTACCTGTTGGAAAATGGCTGGGAAGGTTTTAATACCGAATATCATTCGATTATATCGAAATAGGCCCAAATGCGTGTTTATCGTAAGTAACTCCTTTGACTTGTCATCTACTTCGATTTGAAGAAAGGCATCCGACAGATCAATGTGACTAAAAAACTTGGCATTTGCGAGCTTTGAAAATATGTCTTCTGGCAGAGGAAGAGGGTATTGGTATGCTTCGAGGGCAGCGTTTAGTCCGGTTGAAAAGTCGGCACAAATACGTATGCTGCCATTTGACTTTTTCGTGACCACTATTGGTGCAGCCCACTCAGAGTGGGATACTGGCGATATTACATTGATATCTTGTAGTCTTTGTAACTCCTCTTCGACAAGATGCTGAATAGCGTAAGCCACTGGTCGTTTTGGACGAAAAATTGGAGAACGCCCAGGCTCAACCACCAAATGCGCTTTCGCGTGCTTGCACAGGCCCAGTTTTTCTTCGAATACATCTGGAAAAGATTGCTTTAGAAGTAAAATGTTCTTATTTGTATTTGTAACTTCACTTCCCAATGGTTCTGCTTTCACATGGTTGCAGATTGCGTTGATGGACATGTTTTCGAGACCAAGAGCAGTGATCCAATCCAGTCCCAGCACGTTCAAATCCCGGACAGGTGTGACGAAACATGTAAGTTCCAATTCTTGCTGCTTGAATGTTACCTTACACTGAAACTGCAAAGTAAGCGGCAGCTTCCTTGTTGCGCTACGGGCTGTGTCCTTGACTTCGACTCCGTTTGACGTGTTTATCTT